GCTGGTGATCTTTAATATGAAGTTGTAAAGTATAAACAGTAGGATAAATTTTTGACAAATTAAAAGAAAAAATTCTCCACATAGTTTCAGGTGGAGATATCCATCTAACTGATTGATAAACAGAAATTTCATCGATTTCCTTGTCCATTTCATTTCTGCCTATGAAACCATTAATACAATCATGTCCTTTATACACATATTTGTACAAATACTTTACTGCTTTAATAGAAGAGCATACTTCAATGTTAATATGACAATCAAATTTTGCACTTAAATAAAGATTATATGGTACAACCCATCGATTATCTAACATTTGATATCTCAGTATAATAGAAATACCATTATTACAACGTCTATACAATGGATATGAGTTATCACCAAATATAGTACTGTTACAATAATCCTTAGGATATTTATTTTTACAACCACTGCTTGCCAACATACACACATTTTTTGCATTAAGATTTTCACAAGGACCGTGCATATTGTGTTTTGCAATTACAGAATGAAGATGCAAGTATTTATTCTTATCGGGAATTTCACATGACACTATCATATGAACTTGTTCGGCGCGACAAATTTTATGGGCGAAATTGAAAATCAACAATAAATGTGCATGAGGAAACCCTCTTTTTTTAAATTCAATCATGTATATATGAATAATAACTAGGCCAAAAATATTTTCTTTGTACAAATCATTTTTTAATTCTTCTAATTTTGCTCTAAATATACGTGCAATTCAATCTGGTCGATTTTGAACTTCGTCATTGTATTTCAGTTCTTCCGTAATTTTAGGCCAATTTAGATTACAAGTTATAGTTAGAAACATATCTAGTTTTCCATAGCGTTGAATGATAGCTATTGCATCTAAATATCTTTTGAGCATATCTCTAGGCCCACATGTGAAAGTCTGTAGTAGAACAATCTTCTTACCAATTTTTGACCCTCTTGTTTCCCCATTTTGAATACTATCTACAATACCTTGATAAAGTTCAACAGGAATTTGCTTTTGGTTGCTACGAAAATAGTCTAATCTGGTAGTTTTAATCTTAACGTACATATCTACAACATATTGTTGAAAAAGTCTACCAATGTGAAATAACACAAACTTACCAGAAGGCCTAATTTGTAATTTGTAGGAATAGTACTCCCGACAAGAAACCTGAGTTCGTTTCTTCATTCCATTGAGCACTACGTGAGGATAAAGAAAATGCATCTTACATCCATCTAGAACACTTACTTTATATAAGTTAGAAAAAATACAAAAAAGTGTATTAGCAAACCTTTAGCCTCTTTTTCAATGATTTTGGTTGCAAAATTTACTGCGCTAGGAAAAGCTACGTAGTCAGCCAAATTTTAAGCTTCAAAATATGTCTTTTGGTATCTTTGAATACCTTCATGCCAACCAAATTCTCCAAATGGGAAAAGTAAAGGAAATATGCAAAGAATCATAACAACCATAATAATAATGAACCCTATGTGAATCACCAGAATGACTATATATAGTAATATCACGAGCACGAATATTTGCATTGTCATCATCCTCAACCCATACAGCAGCTACTTGAGATGCCGAAAGAGTACTGAAGACTCTTTGATCAAGTCCAGGATCACATCTTATTTGTATTCAATGGTCATGCAAATTAGTCATATTACTTAAAGACCTAAAGAATCTACTATATGGATTTACTTTCAAGATTTCAATCAAAATGATCGAAGTAAATTCAACAAAATTTTTTGAAATTTTCATACGATTTTCAATTTCGTTATCTGTATCATAAAAATATAACTGCATATAAGAAAGCTTATTATTTTCTGGCATAAGTTGATTCACATAATGATATACTTATCCCTGAACTCTGAAAGTGTAAATACCTTTATATGTTCTAAAAAGTTCTTTATCACATTTTACACCAAACGAAATGAAAGCAAAATGGTTATTATATCCACATGCAATTTTCTTAAATTTCATGCATTCAGGTTCTTTAGAAGTAAATAAATCATACAATTCAGTCGGTGAATCAAACATATAAAGTTTAACTTTTTCATCAGAACAACAAAACCCTTTAGTTTCTCTATAAAATTTTCGTGCACCACAATGTTCACAATAGTTCTATGTCGGTAATACATATGCATTAGTTGGTATGTTCAATAGGTTAGAAAATCCTCGTACTTTAGAATAAACAATATTAGTCGATTCTTGATTTGAAGTGGAAGCCTGGAAAATAGGAGGAACTGTAAACTTCTGAACATGGGAAGCACCTAAATTATTTTTTTCGAGATAATGTAGAATCATTTATCCTTTTACAACAATCAATGCGTGGAGTTTGAATTCGATTCCTCCTATCCGCCTGTCTTTGATTTTGTTGTTGGCGAATAAAGGCAGTAAATGATTTACTTGTATTTTGAGAAGTACCATCAATGTTACAAAATCTAGATTCTTGATCAGCAAATGTTTTTGAAGAATTCATGGAGAACAAAACTTCACCTCTAATTTAATGCAAAAAGAATTTCATTTTAGTAAATGAAATAACAAAAAAAAAAATTATTAATACTACTCAATTTCCACAATAGGAAAAAAAAAATTTGACAAACACAAGTTAATCAAACTTTCACAACATTAAAAACATGCATAAAGCTAAAGTTTAATCACAAAAATCGTTTACTTGAATGCAATAGTAATAAACATAAACATTGCTGCCTCAAATATTGATTAAATAAAATTTTAATAAGACTTGTAGGATTTAAATGCAGGAGAAAAAAAAAAACATTACTATTTTCATATGATTTTTGTAAAATGAAGAGTTTTTTTTTTTAAACATAAATACTATTATTATTTTGTAAATGTTTTTGTTATACTACTATTGAAGATGAAAAAGAGAAAGACTCCCAAAAAGGAACGAGGTTTTCATCTCTAATTTTAGTGATTTTGCTCCCACCCAATCAACCTACACATCCAATATTTTTCTAAATCTATAATGTAAGTAATTCATCAAAAATCATGAACTTAATGAATTCATAAGTTGACTACTGAAAGTGCACAAAAGAATCAGGATAGCAAGTGAAAGTAATGAAGCAAAAATATACAAGTTGAAAATTGGAAATACACAAAATAGTCAAAAAAAGAACTGAAAGTTGTATATAAAAAATATTCAAAGATATTTCACATATCACTAAGAAAAATTGAAAAAATTAGTGTAAAATGGATATTGTTTAAAGAAACTATGCCTAAATTACGTAGAAATTGCCGTTACCAAAAGATTACACAGTTGTCCTATATCATCGGAACGTAGAAAATAGTGTCAAGCACATCTGAAATATTATCCTATTTATCTTATGTTTTTATTGAAAAGATAAATGCTAGTTAAGATCCACAAAGGATACAAAAAATAGGCCACCTAGTGTTCTCTAGCACTTCATACAAAAGACTATTAACAAAAAGAAAATGTCAATACCATGGCATGCTAACAAATATATTGTTCGCTTCTCGAAATCAAATAGTTCTTTTAGACATTAAAAGAGGACAACAAACATAACCACAAACTTGTTTGAACATAAAGTAAATTAACTAATGAAAAATAAAAACAAAAAATGATGGCACATAGTATTCCATATTATTAAGTTTGAAGATTTGATTGTATCAATTCAAGTTCTTCCTAAAATTCATCATTAGTATTTAGTATCCACCTTTCAATATTCTATTGAAGGTAATAAAAGATTTCCATCGATGAATTTATGCCTCAAAGAGCTCTAACCAAATATCTTTTTTAGTGAAAAAGTATATAGCTAAAGTAATTCTTCAAATAAAGATTTCATGGCTCACTGTATATTACAAAAAACCAATTTCCCCCAGCTTTAGTTTCTTGTTGCCTTTTTCCACTTCTCCGTTTTTATGACTTTTACTGTTTGAAGTGGTATCCAAATATAAAGATGGTCAAATACTTCCTGTTTTCCTTTTTCTTTTGTTCTCGAATCTCGATGAGTTCTTTCTTCTCCCTCTAGAATTAGTAAAGTAAAGATAAGGGAAGGCAAATGATTGAATTAGGTTTATAAGGTTTGTGTAAAAAATTTAAAATCATCTCATCTTTAAAAGTATGAGGCTCAAATTTGAAATCCTTGCATAGGAAGTTATGAAATCACATAGTACATACATATTCGAAAGTTTTATACATAGAAACACAAAACATCAATTGGACCAAAAAAAAAATAATAATAAAAATAATAAAATAATAAAAAATTCAAAACCCTTACCTGTCAAAATCTCTCTACTACAACCTTCGATTCCATGAGATAACTAATGTAATCTAACCTATACACATAAACAGCAAAAAATTTTAATTCAAATCTACAAAAAAAAAAATTGAAAGCTAAAATCGTCCATAATCTACAATACAAACGGAAAAGTTTCTTTATAAAAAAATATTACCGTACACGAAAGTAAACATGAAATATTACCGGTGTCTAATTTCTATACTATTTCAAAGGTGTTTTCTCGTTTCATAGAGAAACAGAGGTAAATAATGAAGGTAAACAGTGAAGAAGAAGCACGGCAGACGAAAACAATTTTCGTGAGAAATGATTTAAATAAAGCAGATTGGAATCAAAATTCACATTATACATTTTACAGACAATGACAGACTGCATTTATTATATGAAAATTAAAAAGACCATGACACCCTAACTTTAATAATCATTTTGTCAAAAATACCCTTAACTTAATGCTTCACATTATTTTCAATCAATTTTGATATTGAGGATAAATGAGAATTCATAACATTTACCAACACCATGCCATAAAAGTCAAATTTGTAACAAATAATTTTCCTACTTATTGACATTGAGAAATGAATGCGGGCCCACAACAATTGTACAAGGGCGGATGTGGAGATAGTAGAAGAAGTAGACTATGTGGTCTAGAGAAGAAAGCGCATCTCATTTTCTTACATGAATAAACTACTATAGCAAAACCGGATAAGTTGGATGTAGTGTGAAAAGCAATGTGACATAAATGAATAATAATATTAAAGCCTCTCTTTTAAGAGGTAGTACATAAGCCCATACAAAAATGAGATCCAATAACGGGACCCATCATGTAACACAAGTTTCACAGGATTGCAGACAATGCAAAAAATAAGCTACATGAACAGTATAAAATCGATAATGTTGTACATGATATAAGCAACTCTATGTCGTGCTGACAAAGAGCTTATCTTCGAAATCCCATCAATCTAAAGCCTCTCATTCACAAATCGCAATAATTAGCTTAGTATCTAAAGGTGTAATTTCTATGATGCTATATCCAGCATATCTGAAAGTAGAGATGATTCAAGTGGCACTCTTCTTCCTTTAGTATCTGCTCACTAACTGGTTTAAGGGCTGGTGATCTGTGTTCACCAAACTGTAGTGTTGAACAACTGCGAAAGCAAGATTATGAAACATAGTCAAAATCATTGAAATGTAAACATAGCAATTTACTACAAGCCAATTTGGCAGGACTTCGGCTTTTGATTCTTGTAAAAGAGCTTCCTAAGAAAGTCACCTTAGGCCGGCCTTATCTAAAAGCTCTTCTAATCAAGATAATTACTTCCATAAAATTATCCAAAACCCAAAAGCAGCTTTTGGCTTTATCTTATCCATACATAAATATTGGCAAACTGTGCTTTCTGCTCCCAACAGTTCAATCCCAACTGTCTCGGCTTCTTCTTAGTGATTTCTTCTGAGATTGAGCTTTCTTCTTGTCCAAACGTTTCTGCTCCCCAATGGCAGACCTTTCAATTGAGAGAAAGAGCAAGTCAATCCATATCAATCACTTGCATCCATGAATTTTAAAATAATGGATAGAAACTTTAATCAAGATATCAAAGGAAGAGATCCTGGTGCCCAGCCCACACACTAACTTCCTCTTCTTGAGAAGGGGTGGGGGCAGGGATGTGGGTGAGGGTGGGGACAAGGTAAAACAAATTTGAGCAGACAACTTACAACTTAGCGATCTTTTTCACTGTCGCTTCTGAAGGAGGTGGTGGGACATATGAAGCAGCTTCAATGATTGCCTGTCTCATTCATTCAAGAATGATCAATTATTCACATGGAACTAATTTTCTTCCCTGGAACTATCATTTAAACACCAGATGATAATTTTTACAATTTTTGCTAGATGGTAGAGCTGACATTTTTTGCTGCACCCAAAACATGGCATGCAACAAGCTAAATTATGTACATGTACCTGTAATTTCTTTTTTTGGTAATTTAGTACCTGTAATTTTGCCAAAGCATCTTCAATGTTACCCCTATTTACAAAAAGATGAATGTGAGCAACTACTATAGCAACAATAGTGAAAGAGAGAACATAACATAGTTGGTAAATGTTAACTTTTGAGTTCTAGTCTTCGTTGAAGAAATCACAAGCTCTCCGTCTTTATTGATCCGATTCTTCTCCTGTCAATAGTGTGGAAGTTATCAGTTTTAAAAAGATATCCATTGGTTCTCAGCTGTACAAATAAAATAATAAAAATCAAACAACAGCTCATTTTATGCAACAGGAAATGTTGGACTCTTTTTCTACGATTATTTTATGGGGATTTTAGATGTAGGGAAGATGGGATAGGCATTCTCAAATTAACATTTTCTTGGAAACCTCTCATCCTATGGTTATGAGTTCATGGAAATAAGGATCCTAACAAGCTTGCCCTTCTCTACAACATGAAAACTGTCTACCATGACTGGCAGGTTGAAGCGCAACCCATAAGTTCAGCCTTGAGTTGAAGACTTTTGGCAAATTTTAGTAGAAGAGAAGATGTGCACAGAAAAAGATTACAAAACATGCACAATATTAACAAGAATTGGTAAGTGTGGTGAGGGCTATTTTTTTGTTCTTTGTTAGCTTCAGAGTTGAAGAATCAAAACATCAGGATGAAATTGGGACTATGATTCTCAATTTTAAACCCTGTATTTTGATATTTAAGTAACCAGGTTTCTATACCCAAATAATCAAACACTCGAATCCAGTTTTAAGCAATCAGATTACTGATTTGGATGTCATTCCTCGCCAAGCTTCTTAGTTTAACTTCAAAAATATAGTAATACTTTACTTTACCAGTTCACGTGATCACATATCAAGAAGAGGGGACACAGAAATAGTCAACAAATTTTAATGCCCAGAGTACTAAGTGATAGCAAATGTGGAAACAAGAGTACGATCCATGATATATCCTACAGGACCCAATTCCAGGAAACCAAACAAGGTAGATAAAACACAGTCCTCTGCCCTCTGCAAATAGTGTAATATTGTGAACATTAACAGTAGAAGATAGTGACTCACCTTTTGCATAATCCTATCTCTCACCCTGTCGCTTAACCAGTACGCATTTTTTACATTGAATCGCATATCAACCTTGGTGTTCACTGCAGATTAAGAATCTGTCCAGTTAAAGTCTTCAATGTGTCGAAGATCACCGATTAAAATTGTAGATATGTACAAAATGAAGCATTGCATACCTTTATTGACATTTTGACCTCCAGGCCCGCCACTCCTTGCATAGCTTACAGTAACATGATCTGCATTTGGAAAATAAAATTTGAAGAATGACCATGTTTTGATTTGACATCTAAACCACAAAAATAAAAATAAATATAAAAATAAAAAATCAACTCTTCTTTGCCGAGTCATTCCTATCCAATATCAGACGTAGAACATCAAGGATTTTGAGATACCAGCATTATTAAAATGAAAACCAAAAAATTAGTATATGATCATATGAACCAAAAAATTAACTTATGATCATATGGCCTCACATCCTCTCTCTATAATGAGCAAGGCTGTTCAACACCCCTTCTTGTGTTTATCTGGTGTGAAAATCCTCCAACATGTCATAACGAACAATAACTCCCATATTTTCCTTGTATACAAGATGATGGGGGTAGCAAGAAAGACATGAAAAATATGCAAAATTCCAGTGTAAAATACGGGAAAATAAAAAGTTTGAAACCATTAATTATCTATATAAAAGCTATTTGATCGATGCAAATGAACTCTTTCCATTGTGATTAAGTTTGCACCTTAATTGTGCCTCAAAAGTTGGGAATAAGGCAAGTAAAAATCAAAATCAACTCTACTTTCTTGGAATTCTCAAGCTCTAATAAATTTTTTTATAACTTAATTAATTATCCTGTTATGACAAATTAGCAGGTCATATAACAATTATGCCCATTCACCAGAATCAATATTCCAGTTCAGCCCACCTTGTTAAGTAACAATTCAGACATATATGGCTAGCATCTATACTTGAAATCCCTTAAATACCCAACATTCATTGTCATGACAAATAGATAATGTCGTCATAAATTTATGAATAAAAACGAATATATCAAAGTATACCGAGAGTGATTCGGGGAACGGGGTCAGCACCAGCACCGGCATCTTTAAACCGCTCCTCGGCTTCATGCAGAAGCCGCTGGACCTCAGCAAGCCGAGCCGGCGTCTTCTTCTCCTCGCCGCCTGAATTACTGGAGGCGCAACGTACGACACCGTAATTGCTATGAGCTCGCCAGTGGACTCCACCGCAGCTCGTCGCCGGCAACGCCGTACGGAAGAAACGTACGGTGATTTGTGAAGAGAATGTGGGGCGGAAACTTGATCTTGCAAGGAACATGCTGGTTGTGGCTCTGATTGCAGCCATTTGGAATTTTGATTATTATTGTTAAACCCTAAGAAATGATTGAAAATGTTTTTGAGAAGAGAAAATGGCGAAATTTGAATTTAGGATGAAGCCGAATGGAGAAACCACCTATAAAATACATTTTGTTCAAATGCCATTTGACCAAAATTATAAAAATAAAAAGAGTTTTAATTATTTTAAAATGTCAAAAGACTTCTTTACCCTTAATTTATAAAACAAAAATGAAAAAGGGATTGGAGTTTTTCTCTAAACTTAGAGGAATCGTGAGTTGAACCTTTGATGGCAAGGAAATATTTTAACTCCACAATCATTATGTCAAGTCATGGTCCTTTGTTTTTTGTGAGCAAAATATATATATTACATTTCAAAAAATTATTTCATTTTCAATTTAAAAATAAAATTTAATTAAAATCAAAATTTAATAATAACCCACCGGTTGATCCATTGACCCGTTGGTTTTTTTCGAGTCTAACACACACAGTCTTCTCTTACTTCAAATTCAAAATCATCTTCTCTTTAAAATTCCGACTCTTCTTTTTAAGTTTAATGACATCTCTTCTCCGTAGTTGATCTCCGATGCACCCAAAGTTTTAACATTTTCCACAACTTAGCAACTAGTCGAAAACAATTATTGAGTCATTTATTCATTAGACACCTATTATAACACACGAATTTTTCAAAATACATTTTTTGAAAAAAAAAAAGGACAAAAAAAATATTTTTAAATTCATATCTTATTTAGAATCCAATAATTAGATTTTGATAAATAAAAAAAACGATATAATATATCAATATTGAACTCATTTTAAAGTTTGTAATTAATAAGAACTATTCGACTCTAGAAAAAGTTGATTCTGATAAGCCAATACCAAAATATCGCAGTTTGAAGAAATCGTAAAATATAATTTATCAACTTAATAAAAATGTGGAATGGAAATGAATTGCCGACACTGTTTCACTGATTTGCATAACGACATTGAAATCGTTCCTAAAACATAAAATGACTTCGATATCGTTTTAGCATCAAATACACTCTGCTTAACTGATTTGTATAACGCAATTGAACTCGTTCTTGAAATACAAAAAATGATGTATATGTCATTTCGATATCGAACACACATTACTTTATTGTTTAACAGGTTTAGGCGCACACTATGGAATAAGTAAATAATATTTATGTTGTTTCGATGACAATGATATCGTTCCCGTTCAAATCGTAACTATAACGTCATACATATCGTTTCAAAAGTGGTTACACTCGAACGTTATAACTACGATGTTAAATATAATTGAAATTTACATATTTTCGTGACTTTTTATGATTTTCAAGTTTATGTATTGTACATATCCAAAATGTGAATATTGTGCATATTCATGTAATCATATACACTTCGTTCCGATGACACATAAAGTAGCTGATGTCGTTCTACTATAAAATGTTCTTATTCTAATAACGACTTTGAAATTCTCCCTAAGACACAAAATAATAACTAGAGCGATATATGTATCATTTTTTACAAATTTAACTACTTAGAATTTTTGCAGTTTAAATAATAATTAAAACGATATATGATGACCAAAAAAAAGACATCAAATGGATTGATAGCACTCGAATGATTCAGAAAGAGCGAATGGAGATACTATCTTTCTTTCTATTGAATGAAATCAAACTCACTTAATGAGTTATTTTATCATTCTACGTACAATAAATATATGTCAGATGACCATGGACGATAGAATCGTCATTTTCATAATTATCATTTTATATAAAGTAAAACGATATATATATCGTTTTAGTTATGATTTAAGCTAAAACGATATCAACGTCGTCAAACTTGTATTGAAACGATAATGATGTTGTTATGTATGAAAATCTCAAATAAAGTAACGACATTCATATCATTTTAGTACAACTTTGACCAGTATGAAATCGTTCCAGTTCAAATCACGTGTATAACGACATAGCTATCGTTTATTTTTATATAAAACGATAATTTTATCGTTTTGGCTAAAAATAAAAATTCGACCGTCCATAACCACCCATCATACCTTCAACATACGTAGAACGATCGAAAGATGTCATCAAGTGGGTTAATACCACTCGAATGACTTAAAAATAGCGAACGAAGATACTTTCTATTGGAACAGTTCGAATGTGTTATACAATCACGAGATCAAAAATATTCTCATAGTTTCTTTTGAAGAGATCGAACCCACTTGATTACCCATTTTGATCATCCTACATATATCAAATGCATATTTGGTGGTCATGGACGATTGAATCGTTATATTTAACAAAAACGATATAATTGTCATTTTATTTTAACTAAAACGATATGTATGTAGTTTTAGTTATTATTTAAGCTAAAACGATATTAACGTCGTCAAACTTGTATTGAAACGATAATGATATCGTTATGTATCAAACTCACAAATAAAGTAATGACATTAATATCGTTTTAGTACAAATTTAACGAATTTGAAATCGTTCCAATTCAAATAATAACTATAACGACATAGATATCGTTTCTTTTCATACAAAACGTTAATTATATCGTTTTGACTAAAAATAATGATTCGACCGTTCACAACCACTCAACATGTCTTTAACATACCTAAGACGATCGAAAGAGGTCATCAAGTGGGTTGATGTTGTAACAACCCTGGTCTCTGTACCCAAACCGTTAGCTTACGTACTGTCCGTTCTGGGTAGGTCTTGCGCCCATTTACCCCTCACGGCTATTTGGACGCCCAATTGGTACCAGTATTCAATTTAAGTCTTATTTAAGGGAAATATTATAAGTTCGAATCCTGGGGATGCGACAGAAAGCCGTGAGGGGTAAGTGGGCGCAAGGCCTACCCTGAGCGAACAGTACATAAACTAACGGCTTGGGTAGAGAGACCCCGATCGTTACAGATGCCATTCGAATGGTTTAGAAAGAACGAACGAAAATACTTCTTTCTATCGAAATAGTTCAATGTTGTATACAATCGTGAGAACATAAATATTCTCATAGTTTCTTTTAAGTGAGATCGAACCCACTTAATTATCTATTTTGAGCATCCTACATATGTCAAATGCATGTCTAGTGATTGTGGATGGTCGAATCGTTATTTTTAGCAGAAACGATATAATTGTCGTTTTATTTTAACTACAACAATATGTATATAGTTTTAGTTATGATTTAAGTTAAAAAGATATCAACGTCGTCAAACTTGTACTGAAACGATAATGATGTCGTTATGAATCAAATTCACAAATAAAGTAATGACATTTATATCGTTTTAGTACAAATTTAACGAGTTTGAAATCGTTCCAATTCAAATAATAACTATAATGACATAGATATCGTTTCTTTTCATACAAAACATTAATTTTATCATTTTGACTAAAAATAATGATCCGACCATCAACAACCACTCAACACGTCTTTAACATACATAAGACGATCGAAAGAAGTCATCAAGTGGTTGATGCCGTGATGACTCGGGTCTCTGTACCCAAGCCGTTAGCTTACGTCTTGTCCGCTCTAGGTGGACCTTGCGCCTACTTACCCCTCACGGGTTTCTTCACATCCCTTAGGATTCAAACTCATAACATTTCCCTTACGGAAGACTTAAGTTGAATCCTGGTACCAATTGGGGCCAAGATTCAACTTAAGTCTTCCTTAAGGGAAAGGTTATGAGTTCGAATTCTGGGAGACGCGAATAAACCCGTGAAGGATAGATAGGCGCAAGGCCTACCCAGAGCGGATAAATAGGCGCAAAGCCTACCCAGGGACATCAATTTTTGCTGAAATATTTTTTGTTAGAACATATGACTTTATCACTTTTCTTATATCAACAAATACATCAAGTAATTTATTTGCAACTCTTTGCAAATGAATAATTTTTTCAACCTCTTACTCACATTGATTGTTGCGAGGATCAAAATGAAATAGAGTTGCTTCATTCCAAATAATTTTACCTTGTTTTTCAGGATATAGTTTTTCCCCTCCCAAAGTTGAAAAAGTTATTTAATCAAAATGACAATCTGTAAAACGTGTAGTAAATAATTCACCCGTTAAATGCTCAAGATAATTGATGGTAAATCAAAACCCACATAAATCTTAAGTTTTCGTTAGGGACCCATTTTAGTACGTTGTGGAGGGTGAAATAGGGACTTGGACAGCACAACCAAAGACCCGTAGGTGAGAAATATCAGGTTCATAACCAAATGCTAAGTGCAAAGGTGAATATTGATGATAGACAGTTGGTCTAATACAAACCAATGATGTAGCATGTAATATGGCATGACCCAAACAGAAGTTGAGAGTTTTGTTTTCATAAGTAATAATCTAGCAATAAGTTGTAGGTGTTTAATAAACGACCCTTCCAAACCATTTTGCGTATGGACATGTACAACTAAATGTTCAATTACAATCCCGATTGATATATAATAATCATCGAATACTTGTGATCTAAATTCACCAGCAATGTCAAGGTGAAAAGTTTTAATTGAGTAATCGAAAAATTGCGCTCGTAATTTTATAATTTGAGCAAGCAGTGTAGCAAATGCTACATTCCTAGTGGAAAGTAGGCAAACATGTGACCATCTAGTAGAAGAATCAATTAATACCATAAAATAGCGAAATGGTCCACATGATAGGTGTATTAGCCCATATATATCTTCATGAATTCTTTCCAAAAAAGTTGGAGATTCAATATTGACATTTGTAACTGAAGGTGTAATGACTAACTTACCTTGCAAACAAACTACACATGGATAGTCATTAGGTAAAAGAATATTTTGGCTATTTAAAGGATGTTCATGCGAATTGTTTATTATTCGACGCATTATCATAGTTCCTGGATGTCCAAGTCGATCATGTCAAAGAATAAAGTTTTTTGGGTCAACGAACTTCTGGTTCGTGACATTATTTGATTCAATCATTTTTATAAATGTATAATACATGCCAGATGGGAGTTTATAAAATTTTTCTTTTATCTGCTTCTGAACATATACAAAATAGGTTATGCAAAGATATTCAGTATTATTTTCTTGTATCGTTTCAATATGATATCAATTGTAGCGGATATCTTTAAAACTAAGCAAATTTCCTCTGGAT